GATTTACTGCAGAGCTTAGTGACTGTATGATGCAGGTGAATGAAACGCAGCCACGAAATGTTTATCAGTCTGTTTCACATGGCAGTAGTTTCGCCTCTGACAAGTGATTGTGTGTCAACATTGACATTTTGACTCATGTAGTCCCTCCTGATAATGCAACACAGTGCTCGGGTTGTGCCGCATAGTGAGGCTGCAATCTTTCCGGTGGGATATTAAACCGAGGTTTGTCTGTCTGTGTAAATGGAGGTTAAAGATTTCAGGGCACTATGTGAAATAAAACGGGAGATTCTCCCGTGTCCTGGCCAACAATCCTACTCTGAGAATCCTCAACAGCACGAAATAACGGCGTCTGAAATGCTGATATTATTATGGTGCAATATAAAGTAATATTAATAAGAAGAAATTGGTCATTCCACTGCTTGTCTTTTGGTGGAACATTGCTGGGTGCAATTGACCGCCACATTCTCCCACAAATTAAAAAGTCAATTTACTTCACATTATATTGTCTGAAGCACTTACAGACGAATTTAACACGTTGTATCGAATGCAAGGATTATTTTTATTAGTAATTTAATGTTAACGTGTACAGTGGTGATTTTTGTCCGATTAGTTTGAGCTATTCTCTCTTTATGAAAACAGGGGTATGGGACATCTATAAAGTAAATAAGAAGTGAGAGAAAATCTCCAACAATGTAGTTCACCCCCTGCACTGTATTACAGTGTCGGCCTGGAATTCATCAGTTTCACATGCAGACATGGGGCTTGAACCCACGGCCTTCTGACTGACAGGCCAGAGTGCTGACAACTGAGCCAGGTTACTGCATATGTTTAATGGTACACTCTGCGTTCAAAGTCTCAATGTGGGGATTGAGCGAAATGATCCTAATTAATGGACACACTGCAGGTTAACATCAGCATTCGGACAGACAGAATAAGAAGCATCTTACGTCAACTTCCTCAGACATGAAAGTTACAATATTTCCTATATACTATTGATTTCAAAATAATATTCCCTAAAACACATGTCCAAAGATCATTGGAGCGTTTCTGTTTCACTCACTGAAAGCAACTAACACGTTCACACACGTTCCTTGTTTAGCTATTAATTTTCAATAATTAATGCTGCCATAATACCTACTGTAGATTGTTATTCTTTCTGGTGCGGATTATTCTACGCTAGTCAGCAGTAGGTTTCGAACTTTTTTTNGCTTCTGAAATATAAAGTTTGCGTGGAGAGGTTATAATTATATAAACATTAAATAATCAAGGAATGTCTGTCCAAAAATTTACTTTCTGGAAGACGTTAAGCTTTGTAAGATACGCATTTGTCGTGAATTTGCTACCCGGCAAAATTAAAGCTGTCTTGTGAAGCATTCTCCAATAGATACAAATAACCTTCAACAGCTTTATATCCCCTGCAGAACAATTTCTGGTAGAACTATTTGATTTCCACTGGCATGAGGCGTGTATGGAAAAGACACTGTGTTGTTTTTTGTAATATTTTTAACTAGTTTCTGGCAGCTGGTTTAAGGTTAGGTTTATATTGAGATGAAGCTGCTCTAATTTAGTTTGAGAAAGTGCAGGTGTTTCCTGCAGATAAGAAACTGATTCACTCTCAGAACATCACGTGACCAATGTCAGTGTTTTCTTATAAATGTTGTTTGATGGATTCAGTAAAGTGTTCATTAAAGTTAGTTACCCTCCAAACCTCAGCGATTGTTAAATTTGATTTCACTCAAGTTTATAAATCGTGGATATATTCGTTGTATTCTATTCTGCCTTTGGTTATTGTGGCCAGAATTGGTGTGCGGTGCGGAGGGGAAGGGGTGAGAGGAGGAAACGGGTCTGACTGGAGCTTAACTGATTCCAGGTTGGGACAGTTGGCATAAAATATGGTAATTGAATAAAGCCTTTGTAGTGATCTCGATCATTGTGTTCCTGAGCCAAGTGAGTCCTTAATATTTCACGCCGTGTTGTTGACAAACCAGTCAACCTGACTGCCTCATTCGAAGGACCAGAGTGGCAAACTGTTTAAGGTGGCATTTGAAATGTGTTTAATTTCGGTCATGCTAACACTGTAGGCCAAAGCAATAACTGACAGGATAATTCTAATTGGTCAGGACATAGGAAACTGGCCAGACATTACATGCACTTGCAGATAAATTCCATTCCTGCAACAAGAGTTTCCAATGTTGCTAGTTTCCTGAAAATATATTGCTATTAAACTGTCCCCTAAATTGAGTCCGGATTCCTGCAGCTTTGTTCAGTGCAAATTATTCCCCAACCAGCCTCCTTCCCTCTCTATCTCTTTCTTTCTTTATTTCTCTCTCCCTTCTCTCTCTCGCCCTGTTTCTCTTTCTCTCTCTCCCTCTCTCTCTTTGACACAAACACACACACATATACATACAACATCATATATTACAATTTCATATGAATGTACACTCCAGTTTATTAATTGTTCCTCATAGAACATCAACCTCACTGAGGAAATAAGCCTCGCTGTTCTCTGTGCAGTATCTTGTCCAGGCTCTTTCATTTGGACAATCAGTCTGAACAATGTCTGTGCAGCTTCATGACGTTTTCCGAGGATTTGAGCCTCAACTGGTTAAGCATGTTGCACAACATCCTATTTGCTTTCTCAGGCCATAGCATGGCATGGTCTGTGCTGCTTTAAGATTATAGAAATGAACATCCTTCTCTTGTTGCAGAATAATTTCTTCCTATATTTCCATTGCAAGACGCAAACATCCTTGGATTGATAGCTGAATAGAAAAATTGTGAAGTAAATGAAGGATTGTTTTGGACAGGACGATTCTACTTGATATGGAAAGTGTTCATGGGCTGAAATCCACCAGAGTCTAAATATACTTTATTCATGTAACATTTTGAAATTTGTAGAATTTGGCAAGTCTTTGAAATCAGTACATACACAATACTGACTTTATTTTGGCAGTAATTAACAACTTCCAATTGCTGGATGCAAAAAAATTCTGCATAAAAGTGTCAAGATTTATACAAGTATGATTCCTTACCTACAGGGATCATTCACAAGTATGGTAATGGTAAGAGGCCTACAGTGTTTTGGTCAAAACAGAGGACATTTCCTGCAATTAAACGTCAAAGCAAAGCTCTGTACACACTATTTCAGTGAGTGAGCAATAAATGTATGGAACAGGATTCTTCCGGAGACGGTGAAAGCAGAAAGTTTGATTCTTTCAAAAGCAAACAAGATAGATATGTTTCAGGAAATAATCTTGGAGGACAGTAAATGTATAGAACAGGATTGCTCTGGAGACGGTGAACGCAGAAATTGTAGATGATTTCAAAAGCATATGGGATAGACCTTATTCAGGAAATTATAACTTGGGGGACGGTAAAGATTTGGGGCCATGACAAGTGAATTTCACTATGAGGATAGTGGAAGTTGAACTGGATGGTCTCTGGTCTTCTATTGTAACACCATTCTTATGTTCCAACTAAGCTGTTGGATTGGATCAGATCAGATTGAAAGCAGATATAACTGAGGATGTTAAACGTAGTGAACACAGGATACAGTAAGGATTGTGCTTTTTAGTTAGCAGGATAATCAAGGTCAATATTGCACCACATTTCTGCACGGTTAATCCCCAAATCATTAATAGGGTTGGCTGGAAATGCAGAGGTTGGATGACGAGAGGTCAAAACAGAACATGGTACAAAAAAAATGATGTATGTTTTGAGAGAGCTGGAAAATTATTCACATGTAAGATACGTGAATACTAATGTAGATGAAACAAACGGCAGAAGTGGTCACAGAATGGTCAGAACAAATGTACTTTTGTGCAGGGAATTTCCTCCTTACTGTGCAATTGTGACTATTTAGTTATTGATCTGTCAACTTATTTTTTTCCCATGAAGCTGCTCGGTTCAAATTGTGCAGCTCAGCAGAGGCAGGAGATAAATCTATGTCAATGCATAAACAGATTGAACACGCGCATTGTTCCATAAATACTCTAACACATAAATGCATGTTATTCTATTAGAATAGCCACGTGTCTGAAGCTGTATCTGGGTGTGGGGCAGATCATTGTGGACGGAAGCAGCTGCCAGTCACTGGAGCAAAGAATAACTCAAGTGGAACAATTTTATAGCAAAGCTATATCTGAAGTAGGACATTACATTTAACAGCTTTTGTTTAATGCTGACTTACTGGAATCTGTCGAATTTGGAAATCAGGAGCAAAGGCAAAATTGACACAAAAGGAACAGGAAATAAAAATATCAAACAGCTCAATCAGCCGTCACATCTTTATTGATATATCACGGTAACAATATAGAGAATCTGCAGACATTAAGAAACAGGAGTGAATACATATATAGAGCATCAAATTAATATCAAAGCATAGATACATCAGTCAATGTCTTTCGGTATCGTTACATCACAAAAAAATTAAACAGCAAATGAAGACTATCAGCGAGCCGTGATGGTAACATTATTAGTTATTGTTTCCAAAAGGCATATTGTAAAATAAACTAAAGATAAGAAAAGCTACTAAAATTCACATAGTTGCACAACACATTGTTTATTTTCAGCTGATTTCTATAATGGGGGAAAAAAGACAGCACATAATCAGTCTCAAGACACCGTTGTTAAACACAGACGGACGAGACACATCGATGAATATGATCTGAAGAAACTCAATTTATCTGGAAAATAAAAGCAAATATATAATGAATGATTTCAGCCGAGATAGAGAATTCATGTTCAGGCATATGTTTAATGTTCTATATATATATATCAACACAGACACTAACACACTAAGAAGAATAAATACACAAAAACAAATACAAATAAACAAACACACACACACACAGTCACACATACACGAATCCAACTGATTGTCTTTTAATTTTTAGTTGCTTGCTGGGAACTGTGGCAGACAGAACGATTTCATGATGCTTTAAATTGTCCACAATGTACAGACAGAGGTACATAATCTGTAGAGATCCATTAGCCCTTGCCTAGTCTATACCAGGTGAGCATATCTCAGGTGCGATAGGGTGTGTAATGGAGAGGATATTCTCATCACCTTCACACAGCCCAGTAACAAGGAACTTGGCCTAAAAAGAAAGGGAAAGTTCTCAGCAGAGTGGTGGCAATGAGAATGACAATGAGGGTTCCTATGGAACAAGTATTCAACATCAGCTGCTACATCATATCATGGCGTCAAATAATTTATTCTCATCACCTTAATTAAAGTGACGGCTGCGCTGTACATAATACTCAGGAAGAAGAGGATGATGAAGGTGGAAGCAGTAGGCCACAGGTTGTCACTTGGTACTTCTTGAAAACCTTTCAGCATCATCTCGGTTGGGAAATCTGTTAGGATAAAAAAAAGGAAATATCTTTAGAGGGGATTCAAACCTGAGGCCTTTCTGCTTTCAACGTATTATTGTTAATGTATATGCATTTTCCCAGTTGATCACGGGCTCCCTCACTTTAATAAACTGCACGTTCCCTTCGATCAATTTTTCTAAATGTTTAGTTTTAACAGAAGTAAAGGAATCTTGGTTTTATTTTTTCTTCCTCACAATTAATGAATCCAAAAAAGAACTGGGGGAACATTTTGGGAAATTAAAATTCGTGGAATAACAGAAGGATGGAAATACTACCATTGAGATTCCGCTGTTAGAAAATGGACATATCGTCCCCAACCATCCAATTCCTCCTTTCTGCCTATATTGTACGTTTGAGATATTGAGATATTGAGATAAAGCATAATATATTCTAAAATATCTGAATTTATGAATTGACTAATCCTTCATATGTTACAGTGGCTTTCCTGCATGTTTTATCCCGTTTGTATGGATACAATCCTCTTTCGTTGCTTCAGTCTTTGAAGACTTCATGGATTTAAATGCTTTGGTACGACTCTCTTCAATTTTTCTTTTACTTTCTGTTTTTAGAAGTACAGCAACAATATTTGTAGCTGTTCGCTGCAGCGCCAATCACAGGCATTATTTTCATGGTCTTTGTGTAACTGCCCAAAACCCTCTCAGCAGCTCTTATGTCCTTTGTGTGATAAATTGTCCAGAACCACATGTAGTGATCCACTCACAATCCCGTTAACTTGAAATGTCATTGACAGTCGATTAACTTTGCGAAAATCACAGAATCTGTTTCAGTGATCTTCCGATACGTTTTCCAATCGACGTGTCCTCCAAGTTTTTTGCCATTCCACTTATAACAGAATTATTTTGCTGCTATTCCTACAGTGATTATTTTACTATAAATATACTTCAACAAACTGGTGTCTCAACATTGAACTACATTTCCACCTCTCTGGAAACTCAGTTAAAATGTCTGTTACATTACGCAATTCCCCAGGTTATTCCTCAATTTGTCAGCGTCCCCTACTCTTTCATCATCAACGTTTTTATAAATGGCACCATTTCTATTTCAAAATGGCTGATATTGTTGTAAAGCAATAGAACAACCAGCAAAAACATTTGTGTAAATCAACTAAACAGATTGAGGTATAAGTGAACAGGGTTCATCCCTGAGGGCCATCAAGTGTGTGAGGGGCCTGGGTTGGTGTGAATGTAGTTAAGTGCGTGCGAGACTGGGTGGAAGTGTCTGTGTGTGAGTTAGTGTGGGCCTGGGTGGATATGGTTGTGAATGAGTGTGCGAAGGTCTCGGTGTATGAGTGCAAATGTGGACTTGGGTGGATTGAGCGTGTGTGAAGTTTGTGAATGAGTGTATTTATTTACAAAGGCGTGGCTAAGCGAGTGCTCAAGTGAATATGTAACCGTATCCAGATCTTTTCTGTGGAACAAGTATCATTGTTACAGGAAATTTACCAAAATGGCCACAGTTTACATCTGAGAAGTTGTTTCGTGTGGAATGCGATGCTGTTCAGTGATTGAGAAAATATCCTGCAAGGGAAAAGGTGTAGCTGTGCTGTGCAATTATAAAACAAACTGCAAATAAAATTCGTTTTGAGATTGGATTATAACCAGTGATGTTGAATTAGTGGGGACTTTATTATCAACTTATTTTTTTTGGGGGGAGGGTTGTGTGTGGGTGGTGGGGCGTAGGGGTGTGGGGTGGACGCGCTGGTCCGCCCGGCGTATGACACATGTGGAAATATATCACCACGCTTAAGTGTAAATACGAAAATGACTGCGGTAATAACTTAATATTAGCTTTTCTTCCAAAAAAAATGCATCAGTCCTCACGCTGGAAAATATCTGTTTGAATAATTTTAAATCACTCCGAAGTACCTGACACGTCAATAAAACAATGATCTTTATTTGATTTAATTGTTGAAAACTGACAATGCAATGGCAAGAAGGTGGGTGCACAAAAGGATAAGCAAGATGGTATTGAGAGACACTCAGTGACACGGATTCACGGTGTCCATCAGGACAAGTGCAAGGTTTACAAAACTCGGTTTACCGCTGGATTTATTTACGGTTCTGGTCAGGGTCTTCAGTGGGAACGTTTCGTGGCCCACCACACATGAGTAGGAGGGTCTTCTGTTCCACTCATCGACTGAGAGGGTTAACATGCTGTACATGGAGTAGTTGAGATCTTCACTGTCTGCCATCACCTCGGTGTTTCTGTACTTGTTGGCATCAATCAACTGGTCATTCACAGTCCACTGCACAAAGATCTCTTTGGGAGCGAAGTCCTTCACCAGGCAGGTCAAGGTGACAAACTGCTGAGCAGCCATTTCTTCTGCCGAGGGGAGGAGCAGATACACTGAAGGTTGTTTTGTGTACACAACTGTAGGAAGAATGCAATCAGATCAATACAATGATGGTGTCAATCATAGAATATTTTGAAGCATCAGATCTTGCAGAACAAGCTGAGAATAATGTTTGTGTCTCTGTTAAATCTGTGCTCAGTGGTTTGTAATTGTTGGTGTGACTAGGAACATTGGTGTGGGTTGAAATCCCCGACAGGACTTTATTATATGCACCCAGTGACCAGCGGTTCAGATATGGTAACTCTGCTCCCTGAGAACATGTGTAAACATCCTCCAGGTGATGGTTAGATTCTTGTTGATATAATTCATGTGGGTGAATGTACTTAACAAATTTTATCTATAAATTGTTGTCCGACGTTCGTGAGAGATTATAAATCTATCGAAAGACAAACAGAAAAAGAAGCAAACAGAGAGCTGATCATTGTATTCCCAGTTGTTTCTGTTGATTGAAATCTGAAATTACAATAAACAAATAAATCATTTATTTCCTGAAATATGGCTACTCACCTTTCCTCTTAAATGTCTTTTCACCGATGGGAGTTGGGATATCTTCATGATTGGCAAGGCAGAAGAATTCTTTCCCACTCTTCCAGTCTTGTGTAGAAACGTTTAATTTACTGATCACTTCCTGAGGCTCAGTGGCAGACGTTTTCCCATATCCAGACTGTAAATGTGTCTTTCCTTGTGTCCAAGTCACGTTGACGTCAAGTGGTGCATTGGCCACGACACATGTCAGCGTTACAGTGGACTCCATTAAAACCTGTTGCTGCGAGGGTGGCAGGAAAGAGACCTTCACACCCCCAGTGGGTTGCTCACATTCTAGAAAAGGAAAAGACACATGAAACTGGATTAACAGCCAATATCCAGGATTTCATATTCGGTCAGTTAAACAATACTGTTCATGAATATTCTCACACTGTGGGTGAGCTGAACACAGATTGCTGATTCCGAATATGCTCATCATTTGGTGTTGGAATAATTTACTGGAATACTGAACAAGACTTCCTGAAGGACTGCGTGATATTGCACCTGTTGAGTTTCAATTCCCTCTGACTGAATACCACTCAGGAATAAACACGTGTATTGGTTGACTTGTAACTGTGCATTTAACTGTATACCTTCTCGGATTAACCCAAATTCACTCTTTGTGTCCAGGAAACAAAGTGGAAGTAATTGTTGAGGAAGTGTGTGGTATAGCTCTGCGGATAAAAGGCTGTAGATTGCGGCCCGATTTCTTCATGTTGCTCAGTTCAATAAACTTGGGGTCAAAGCTCGCATGTGTATTGCTTTCATTGAAACACCAAAAAGGGGCGCTACACAAATGAAGGTAGCATTGTCAGGCCAAGCAGGTTCTCTGTTTGTATGTGTGTGTGTTCATGTGTGTGTATGTATGTATGTATGTATGCAGTTTTTAGAAAAGCCGCTGAAACTAAACTGTTGCATCAATTTCCTAATCGTCTGTTTCATTTGCTAAAATATTTTTGTTTCAAGGTTACTAAGACGTTTGCGTAATCTTAAATTTTGATGCAATCGTCAGAAGATTTCAAACATATTTCTTTGCGGCTCTGATATGTATTAAAACAAGTTACTCTGCTCAGATTGATGACAGAATCGACACAGTCAATGGCCACCAGACAGCCGATGTGTTTTGTTAAAATAGTACATTAAATATTGATAAGAATAATATCACTTGCATTGGAAATAGCGTCTTATCAAGTCTTTGAGATATTTCAATGCGCTTCACAGAATACAGTGTGAAGTGAAATCAGTCTATATTGTCTGTGCGAAAAATATTTGATTGACTGTTGAAGAATTTTGATCCCTCTTTATTTTGTAATCTACAAAATTAGAAAACGATTAAAATGGTTAGGTTCAGTGTTTACATGAGGAATGAAGGACTGCAATCAGTGTTGTGCCCAGGACACGGAAATACCCAACATATCTATTGGTATTTTTGTCGCAATCAGCTGTGAAATGGTTAAATAAAGGCAGAAGCCGCTGTCCGGCGTTTGATGTTAGTGACGGTGCATTGCCTAACGGGCAAAGCAATATTACATTCACATTTGAAACTATAAATAGAATATTCCTTGCATTTGTTATAGCGACATATCACGTCTTTGAGACGTCTCCAACTGCTTCAAAGAATACACTGTAAAGTGAATTCACTGTATGTTTGAGGGCGAAATGCGGCATCCAAATGCGTACAGCAGTTTTCCACAAACAGTCGTGGATTCAGTGACAAATTTATTGTTAATATTTTGAAGAGAGTAATACTTCCGGGGAAGCAATCGGTTGATTGACTAACAGGTGTGTTGCTACGTACTGTAAGGCAAACCGAATTGTTGTTGTGAGTGTGGAGTAAGTAGACTTTCCTGACTTTTCGCCCTGCCCGGGAATCAAACACAGGTTGTCTATCCTGCGAGGCGAGTGCTCTAAACTCTGAGCTATAGGACTCCACAGAGTGGAAAACATTCTGCTTTGCTTCACAGTCTGTATTACCCTGAATTGTGTTAGATCCATGTGGTGACAGTTGAATGTCCTGTTGTCACGCTGCATTCATGCCACACAGGCTGACAGACAGAGGCCGGTGATATAAATATATAAAACAAGCAGTGCTGGTGTCTGTGGGTCTGTTTCCAGCCCCTGCGGTCACCGACTTGTTAGCTATCAATAAATTAAATTAACTAATGATACAAATAGAGACATTATTCACTTCTGAGATCCAAATCCTCAAGTAATAATAAACATTTGTAGATTATAAAACTTTACTTTAAGATTTCGCGGAAGTGTATAATAATCTTAAATTTACTTTAAATTTGGATTCCGGTTCTTCTTAAGAATTCGGGAAACCTCTTTTTAGAAATCAATCTGAATTTAACAAATATTTACAAATCTGCGGGATTGACGTCAGTTCATGTTTCGACCTCTGGAAAGATATTTTGTGAAACAAACCTTCACATTGCTCTTTCCTATCCCTCGATCTGAAGGTTAAACTTGAACCGAGCTCACAGCCGCTCTCCCCACAGTGAGATATCCCCGTTCAGCAATTTGCAATTACACTGTTCAATGCCGTTTACTCAGGTCTCACACACAGTCACAGCCTGAACCCTCACATCTTAAACACACATTGTTTCCATCCAATTACCCACAGGTCACTCCATGTTCTCCTTCCCTCAGCCTGAAGCTGTCAGTAACCGCACAGCAGCTCACACATTCTCCATCCACATCACACACGATGCATTCTACATTTTGCAAAGTAACTCACGGACACAATTCCCTGCAGCTCAAACAGTTACACAGAATACCTAATTCATGTATTTACAGTGGAATGAGCTACTGATTCCTTTCACGCTCATCTCTGCTGAGTCTGGAGTTTGAGCTGGTCAGTTTTGGTACCATTAGCTGCATGTCTGTGACCAGTTTCGCTGTGTGTTAACCATCTCATAAACAAATGTATCTGATACATTGCAGCGTGTTATTCAGAGTTTACCATTTGTTTACTCAAAAAAAAAAATTTGCATTTATTTCTGCTGATCAGTTAATGCAAAACAGGAAACTCATATTTGTAGATCAACAGATACATAGAATAACTAAAGCATGTGATTACAGTAAAATGAGAGATTTCTTCCTTTCACCCTCATCTCTGCCAACTCTGAAGTTTTAGATAATCAACTACGATATCATTAGTTTGATGTCAGCGACCAGTTTCGCTTTGTGTTGAACATGTCATTAATAATTGGATCTCTTACAATGCAGTCTGCTATTCAAACTTGAACACACGTTTGATGAATACATCTGTGTTTTTCTACACGATAGTTAGTGTAAAGCGGAAAGCTGATGATTGTAGATGAACACCGACCTGTGTACACTCTGAGGAATGGAAGTAAGTTTAAATCAACCGCTGGCGATATCAATTGAAATGAAGCATTAAATCAAAGAGTAGCTGAATGTTATCGTGACTGGTGTATGGGCAGCTGAGGAAAAGAAACTGTGAGCAACACGTTAATGCTAATATTACTTGAAATAAAAACATTCACTCATATTTCTGTAACATTCGTGCAGATTTGAGTTGTCAGTCACACCGCAGCAATGTAAACCCGCTTTACTCTCTCACTCACCTCCTCCCAGATGAACATCTTTAACCCACAGCAGCGTTCCTTATATTAAACAACAGATTGAAATACATATCGGAATCGATCCGATAACCTTCGCGTCACTCATCCCACGATATTCAGGTCCTCATTTCCAAATCTTGGGCACAGTTTCAAACACTTTAATAGAACTCTCGGCATCATTATACCCGAAACCCAGCAGCTGCCATTCACCGCGAACAAACATTATGGAAAGTCCTTTAGAGTAATCACCAAAAATATCACCAACAAAAACTAAAGAGAATAGTACATGTTATTGAAAGCAATGGCAGGTAAAAATCTTTAGCGTCGCTTAAACTGTGAGTTTTCCCGTCCACGAAGAATTCATTACATTATATAGGTGTTAAAGTGAAAAAAAACAAATATACAAAGAGACAAGTTCAGTGAATTGAGTGAGATAATGTCTGCTACTCACCATCCGTCACAGTCAACACGGTGCCTTGACCCATGTAGTCACTGTGCTACAGTCAGTGTGCTGCCCACTGCAACAACCTGCTGTGCGGGCAGGACACACAAACACAACCTTACTGTAAATGTTGGCTCTCCCAAACCAAATACAATACCCAATATATGTCTGTAACGTTCTGAAAACAATTGCTTGACTCTGTGTTTACCTGTTAAATGTTTGCATCTTTGCCAGTTTGCAGTGTTCATGTCAAACACGTTTTATTGTGACCAACAGATTGGAGATGAAATGTAATGTTTTATGTCTATTAAATCTGGCAATTTGCTCAGCGCTCGGCAGCATTTTACGAATAACAAATCCCCGCATATTCAGTGGGACTCACACAAGCGAACAGAGTGAGAGATTAGCTGCTTTGGTGTTGGACGGTTTTTGTATTGACAGTTAATGCCGTGGTGTTTATCTCACTGTGCTGCAGTCAGTGTGCTGCCCACTGCAACAACCTGCTGTGAGGACAAGGCACACAAATAAAATAGTAGTAAATGTTGGTTTCCCCAAACCAAATAAAGTGCACAATATATTTCTGTAATTTTCTGAAAACAATTGCTTGGCTCTGTGTTTACCTGTTCAGTGGTTGTATTTTTGCCGGTTTGCAGCACTCATCTCAAACACATGTTGTTGTCAAGAACAGATTGAAGAATAAATATGATGTTTTGTGTCTGTTAAAGTGGTAAAATCCTAAGCGATCGACACCATTTTACAAATGCCAGTTCCTCACGTATTCAGTGGGACCCACACAAGCGAACAGTGATAGAGATTAGCTGGTTTGGTGTTCAAGGGTTTTTGTATTGATTGTTAATGCTGTGTGTTGCTTGTCACAGTGATACACAATATGACAAAATCTCCTGCACAGGACGAACTAACAAATATTGACCCGGAATTCCTGGCAACGGCTGGTCCTCAGTTCACAGAATCCTTTGATGACTCCTGTGATATTTCAGTCAGAATAAATTCTTATGTTTTCCAGAGACTTTCGTTTAATGTCCGAACAGATCCAGAGACGTCAATTTCGTTGAGTACCATCCTATAATCCAAATTAACCGCAATAAATCTGCTAAACACTATGTTATTATCGATTATCGATTATCGATTTTCAGGGCCATTTATTTCGGTGTGTCGGTGTTGTTTGATGACTGGAGTCAGCAGTCTCTGTGGCAGGGGTTTTTGTATGAGGAGGTGGTTGTATGCAGCATTGTGTCTTTTCTTTACACAGTGATACAGTCCAATACAAATACTGATCCCCCATATGTGTACAATATCGGCTGCCAAAATTCACTGAAAGTGACTATTCTCCTCTGACGTGACGCAGAATCTGTCTCATAGTTTCCTCATAACAACAGAAACATTATGCAATTATTTCCAACAGCTTGTGACTTGGTGATGTTTTTGAACCGTCATTTATTGCGGTTCTTCCCACCTCAACAGCACAGTGTCACTGACTATCTGAAATCACAGAATACTACAGCACAGATAAGCAGTTCATTCACTTAAATCAAACAACGATTCAATGTGCGGGATCTGTCAGATAATAAATGTATCTTCAGCTTTTCCTTTAAACTTGGGCACAAAACAGCATTGACACCATGTTTGCCCCTCAGTCAGTTTAGGGTGGGAGGGGCTGCCTTTCTCCCCTTGTGTATTTGTAGGAGTTCAGCCCCGTTTCGTCTCACTGTGACGCTCTTGCACAATAATAGGTGGCGGTGTCGTGCACTGTCGGGCATTTGATGATCAGATCGAAGATGCTTTGGGAATCTTCTCTGATGACAGTGACACGGTTTTCAATCCCGGACCCGAATGACTCGATGGATGAGCCGTCATGTACGAGCAGCTTTTCCCGCTGCTTCCCGGGAAGCTGCCGGAACCAGCCCGTGTAATTTCTGCTGAGATCAATCCCATTGGTTTCACAGGTCAGTCTCAGGGCCTGGCCGGTTTTCCCGGTTAGAGTCGGCGGCTGTGTGAGAACCAAATCTGCCTGGACACCTGTAAATGATAAACGGTCAAAGATTAATGACTGTGAAATGTCCTGTTTCTGTGACATTGCGGAGAGAATAACACCGACACAGGAACAGTGAGACTGTCAGAATAATAGCACTCACGGGAGAAGGCAGCCAGCAACACACTGAGAGAAATCAGGGTCCTCATGTTTCTGGGCACTTGTCAGAACTGAGACTTGAGCCGAATAACCGAGGGACAGAGAGCCGCCGGACAGATGGCTTCAGTCCACAGTGACCGGTATTTAACAAGGTCCAGTGGGGCATGTGTTTGAGAATCTACCAATAGCTCCAGGACTGAGGGGAGTCACGTGTCACATTCCCTCTGACTTATACAGATCAGAAATTGTACCTTTGTGTTGAAAGGTACACTATTTCAGGTAGTGTGTGATAAATATGTGGAAACGTGTCCCTGGGATGATGGTGAAAGCAGAAAGTTTTGCTCTATTAAAAGCAAGTTAGTTGGATTACTTTTAGGAAATAATATCTGGGAATGTAATATTTTATTTGGAATATTACACGTCATTCCATTGCCTGGATGTTGGAGGCATAGAGTCGACAGTCATTGGCCCTCTTTCGTCTATCAATGCCTACGTATTTAATATAAAAATTACAATGGATACAATGCCGTATCAGGTCAATAAAATGGCTCAATGCGCTTCACAACATCACACAGCACTTCAGAAAAGTATGTTGTGGCCGAAAATGTAGATTGTATCCTCTCGTTGTGCAATCCAGAACAAGGAGCACCATCTAAATTAGACCTAGGCTATTTAGGAGTCAATGGACAAATGGTGGTGGAAATCTGGAACTCTGCCCCAAAGGGATGTGAATAGTGGATCCATTCATTTTTTCGGGACTTAGATGGATAGATATTTGAAAAAAGCTTATCAAGGAATATGTGGCAAAGGCGGTTATTTGGACTTCAGGTATAGATCTGCTTTGTTGTTAAAGAATGAGGAACAGTCTCGAGGTCCTGAATTGCCTACTGAAACGTATATGTTCTTATGTAAAATATTGACTATTTTCTATATTTGAAGAGGTTCTGAACTGCAGCAGATGATTGTCGCGAATTTGTATGTCTTCTCGTGTCCCTTTTGTGCATGATGACATAAATGGCATTGTTTTCTCCACCGCCGTTTTGCTGGGTATATGTTCATAATACCCTATTATTTTCCTTGCCATTTTAGTAACTGCTTCTCTTTTGTTCCTTGTGAGCATGTTTTTATGTCTTACACCTACTATTTGCTCTCTTTTTCCTTACATAGAGTGATCGTCCTTGGGTAACTCCTCACAATATTTATCTTTGGTCTCATGGAAAATATGTAGAAACTCAGCATTTGGGACACATCTGGTCGTACTCGTTACTGCCTTCAGTCCCCATATTTATTGAAATCATAACCTTGATTGGAGATGAAATAGTGTAGTGACTGTGATTTTTTTCATTGGTGGCTCACGCTTTCAAGTCGGGCGTGAATTGATCACTTGGGGTAAGAAGCCAGATGGAGACGGCTGCTGCTGCAATGGTAACCATGTGAAATATAAGGACTGTCACACTCCTTTAGGACAAGCAGAGAAGAAACTGAGGAGAAAAGTGAAAATAAATCAATGTGACGTGAAATTTGGATTCGATGTAATACCAGTGGCGCATTCCTCCAACTCCAATTCCCTTACTCCACACATCTGTTTAACTCGGAGTAAGTAGGAACACGGTTTTTATTTGATTGACGGATCACTCTACTCTGGTTCCGAATCCTTTCAAGAAACATTGATAAATTGGTCACAGAATCCACAAGTGTTTGGTGGACATTGCAACGCGCAATTGGCTGCAGCGTTTCACCCACAAAATATACAGTCCGATCACCTTAGAGTTTTTTTATACGAAGCACTTTGAGATAGTGTTATGCCAACTACAAGGACTGTGAACCCCTGAAAACCTGCAGCTGACAATAAGGAGGAGGAGAGTATAAAACGGACTCTGATCAGACACAATGTTTTGTTCTCCTTGACTGTTTGATGCTCATGTTCCAGTTACCACATGCATTGTAACTCAGAAACTATATCACTGGCGTAATGAAGCAGAGATAAACAGACTCATTATCCTGAACATAATCATATAGCCTTACACTCAACTTGTGATATGGCCTGTTATTCTCTGGATAGATAAGCCGGTTTCAACACATCAGTAACCTTACATAAAAAATAAATCAACTGCCTTTATTTAGCAACCGACATAAATTACGGCAAGTCCTGTGTCTCGCTATATTGTTATATTGGTTTGGAATTCATTTTCTTGCCCACAGTTCAAGACTGCGAGTTCACAGAAAAAGATTGTTTGCAGATTTTATACAACAGCTTAAGCTGAAAAGCAGTTTATGTACAAAATGCTAAACAAGTTGCTTATTTTCATGTGTAAAGCCTTTTTGTTCTGCTCACTGTGGAAACCCGCTTGACAGGAAGACTCAGACTAATTTCGGGTGGGAAGGAAACTCAGTGCACAATATTCAGGAAGCAGCTGTGATTGTGTGCAGTCAGTCAGTGATTATCTTCCTGCCCTCACACCCGGAGCCCACAGCCTGACCTTTCATATGTCATTTGCCTTCACACCTGCCACAGCAGCAACAGCAGCAGCTGCAGCTGGTCATCTCAAGCTGCTAAGTCATCGCAATCCGTCAGGTCATGTCCACCTGTCTGGTCATCTCAAGCTGTCAGGTTATCCCTAAATGTCATTTCATCTCAAGCTGGTTGGTCATCTCAAGCTCTCTGTTCATCTCAGTCTGTCTGGTCATCTCAATCTGTCCGGTCATCTCAAACTGTCTGGTCATCTCAAACTGTCTGGTCATCTCAAACTGTCAGGTCATCTCAAGCTTTCTGGTCATCTCAAACTGTCTGTTCATCTCAAGATGCGTTGAGGAAGGATTTCGGAAAATATAATAAACAACAGTCAGCAGCCACTAAGCACCAGTGGCTAAGTGTGTGTCTGTGTGTTCCTCTG